AAAACCAACCGTGGCCATGCCCTGCTTTTAGGCAAAAATGGAAGGCAGATCTGGAACTTAAAAAAAATCTGAAATGCCACTGTGACCAGACACAAGGTCTGGGCTTTTTTTTGACCAGACAAAAGAAAGTTTTCCAGTCCAGGGTTCTAGTCCTGTCTTGTCCACAAATCTACCTCTGGCAAGGCTCCTACAAACTAATTTGAAGAAACACATATTAAACAAAATGCTAGACAGGTAAGGAATAAGAAAGCAACACTATGGAATACTTCCTTTTAATTTCTGATACTTAAAAATTAGTAGATGCTCCACAGCTTAATTTTAAGTGCATTTCAAGTTTGTTGTGTGGTTGGTTGGTTGGGTTTTTTAAATGAAAACAATAAATACATGTTTCAATGAAATCTACAGATGCATTTTACTTCAGTAATTCTGAACAAGCCCTTTTCATTGTTTCAAAGGTGTAATGTTCTTACCTTACAAGAAAAGGAAGCAGAAAATCTTGATGTGTATTCTCTATACTCCTATATTTATCATCACTTTTGTTCCTTTTCCTACTTGTGTAGTTCAAGCAGCTACAGCACACAGAGCCCCTATGGCACTTTCCGTAATGAAATTAAACACTGTCCTGCCTTCCCTTCCCCCTCATCCAAAATTCATACAGGACTTCAAAAAACATTAACATAATCTCTAAATTTGAGCGATGAAAATAAAGTCGTGGTAATGGTTTCAATCTGAAGTCATGTCTTTTGCTTCATACCCCATATGGCAGCTCCAACATTTGATAGAACAGAAGGAAAAAGACTGGGCGTTTGTAACACTGGTATGATCACTAGTAACAACCTATAAAACTGAAGCCTGGAATAAAATAACAAGAAAACTGAAATAGGACCTTATTTTACTCCAATTCCTGCAGACAGACTTGTCTGACTACTCTAATGGAGTACTACTGTTTAAACACAAAACTTACATTAAACCAAAAAGACACACAGAAATCAATTGGCCAATTTCCCGTATTTTCCCACTTCAAGTTCACCAGCCTACCTTTGAATTTAACAAATTAAGTATCTTCTAAAGGCAAAGTATTTTTAGTTGCATTTCAAAAAACAGTCCTATTATCTGCAAACTGAAATAACAGTTGAAATCCCTTCAACGGTATTTGATACAAAAGCCAATTCTTGCAAACTTGTAGCAATAAAGTTGAACGATTCCAAACTTTAACTGGTTCTAGGAAATTTAATCTTACAGAAAAAGCAGATGTTGTTCTACTTCTCCAACTCCAGCCACTCAGAATGTATAGCTGACTGTATAGCTGACCTGCTTCCTACCCAGACGTTGTCTGATTATCAAGAAAACATATTAAGTTATCTGGAAAGCTTAAGAAAAACATTAGGATCTGTGAAGAAGGCCCAATGGACAATAGTAGAAGCTGGTAAAAGACAACCTCAACTTGACAGTCCAATTATCTTAAAGACAGAATATTCTTAAAAAAAAAAAAATATATTTGAAGCCCCTTACTACAAGGCCTGCATAGGCACTGAGAAGGTAGGACAGCATGTTTGTACCAGATGCTCCACTAGACAAAAAGTCCTGCTGACCCAGCCCTAAGGACTCCCCCTCCCATCTCCATTCCTTTGATTCCATGTCATCTTTTATGATTGTCCGTGCTTGGCATGAGAAGATTTTCATACTTAGTTCTTCCCTAGATTTTAAAGTTCGTGATTCTCCTAATGCAAAACTGTTCTCAAGTCAAATATGTAGACTTGGAGGATCAACATCTGAGGCACAAGACGACTTCACTGCACTTTAAGTGGTATAGCTGAAGACCTCGGGCCGCTTCAAAGATGTTAGATCTGAGTCTTGGAACAAAGTTCTTATCTTCAACTTGGAACACTCAGGTTTTAGATCGAGCCTACTCCACAGCAGGGTATTCTGACAGGGACTCTTATCTGATACATTAGTCTTAAGAGCCTGCACCAAGAAAGAATCCATATTAACTGCATCCTTTTATTTTCTGTTTAAAAGCATGAATGCAATACCCGAATTCCTCTTACCAAGTAAGTTAGTAGGTGTGTCCGCCTAAAACAATTTCTTCAGACTGATTCTCCTGCCCCTCTCTTTTCTAGCCACATTAATGGAAAATTCCCAGTACTACTTAAGGGGGAGGGAGGAAAGAAGTATATGGACACCTACAAGAGAAAATAAAGATGAACACAAAGCTTCCACCTGATGAGGAACATACAGAGACATAAGGGCTGTCTCCCTGGAAGCTGGGAATTCAGAAGCAGTAAGGGCTAAGGCTCTTCAAACCTTCTGTTTCTAAGTACTGGAACAGAAGAGTATGTTTGCACATACCATTCAACAGCTTTATTGTTTTCAATGGTTCTTCAGATTGGTGAAAGTGGAAGTATCAAGGAAGAAGTGAATTTCTCCTTCATTTTCAATAAACATTAGTATCACTGTAATAATCAAAAGCTTCAACATTACAAAGATGAAGTAAACTAGGATTGCTTCTTAAAGTTGTGGTCAAAAATAGTGAAAACCAAGCCCTTACATAAAAACACAGTGATAGAAAGGAGTATGGTGATCCTTAGGGGGGAAAAAACCCAACAGGATTTTCAACCTATATTAAGCACAGAAAGGTAAACTTCTGAGTCATTCACACGCTATTTGGGGTCACAGCACATATTTGTTGAGGATCTCCACATGATAATAAATGCAAGGCTCAGTAAGTTAGCTCTGTCAAACAGATTTTTTTCTTCTTTACTGGAGTGACTTAATGAGGTCACAAGTGAGAGAGCAACAGGAATAAGATTTTTGTATTTTCTTGGCTCAAATGATAAAAACATAAACCACAATACAATGTGTACAACTTAAGATTTCAAGGAAAACTCCTTCAAGCTCAACAGCAGCTAGCAGCTTGTCTCTATTTGCCGTCACTCCAGATCAGAAGAGCCCACATGCTTTTTTTTTTTTCCTTTCCTGCCCCTTTCAGTTACACTTGAGCTCTTTGACTGAAAAGGTCTGGAACAGATTAAAAGTCCGACCACAAAATAAAGAGCCTTGGCATGTACTCAAGCCTGTCTGGGATACACATACACAGTGGGCCCAAAAAGGGAAGCTATGCAGCAAGAAACCCTTATGCAGTCTTTGGGACATTTCTAACTTCTTTCAGTTTAACAGCACAGCCTTAACATTTGATGAAGTTTCAGTGTGCACAAGACAAGTAGCTTTTGCCCTTACAGTCAGACCATGCTATCTACAGGAGTACAAAATAGTTCTGAGAAACAAGATTCATCTTACTCACGACCTGTCAATTAAAGCCCTTTCCACGCTCCTTTTTAATTTCAGCTCATCGTTGGAAATGACAAAGTAATACAAATAAAAGCAGAATACATACCCTGAAAGATTACTTAAGTAAATATAATTGACCTGCCTCTTTTAACTGCAAAAGGCAACACTGATTTTCAAAACGACTGCTTCCTTTTCAGCCTTATTCACATATTAAGTAATTGTAAAGTTGCAAATTACCCACACACTCTTGCAACACGCAAACAGGTCTGCAACTCTGGCTGGTGTTAAAGTCAGCACGGACATTTGCCAAAGCTGACAACCTTCAATATATGCCCCACCTTTGGGCTCAAGTTGCACAGTGGTTCAACCTGTCTGCAAACTGGTGAGCAGTTTATAAACAAAGTGTGACAATCTGGTGTTCTCCACAAGAGCAAGCGGATGTTTAAAGTAAGCACTCAAGCCTAAAACAAAAATGCTGAAATTTCCAAGAGCCATTTCAGAAAAACAAAACAGAACATCGACTGTTGAATTTTGCAGCTCTGTGTTTATATGGCATTCATGGAGTTAATGCCTCTCCCAAAAGGGGCCCACAGTTGTTGTTAGGTCAACCCCTGTAAAGCTTCAAAGGCTTTGTATCCCCTCAGCCTGACCTACTCAGTGATCTGCACACTGTTTTCATTTAGTTGCACCGAGTCCAAAACTAAAGCCTGAAAAACCACAATGATCTTTTTTTTTTTTCCCCCTACTGTTTTTTCCATGGCTCTGGAAAAATAACTACAATCCAAAAGAGCTGAAAATAGTAAATTATTGGGGAAACAAATCAAGGCCAAATCAATCCAGCTAATAAAGCTTACACACACAGGTCATGGCTTTATACAAAAACTAAAGTTGTAATACCACCTTAAATACAACAGAACAATCACTTGGACAACCTAAGAAACTAGAACTAGTTTAGAGTCTCTTAATGTTATAGGCTATTGCATAGAGTCATCGGTGCCAATATTTTATTGAAATGTTTGCAGCTCTGCTTTTCATAGATTGAAAACATTACAAAACAGGAGACAGCAGTTCTATTTTGTTAAATTTTTACATCTAGACCTTGTGATCACTAACTTAAGTTACTATTTCTATTTCCAATTTACATAGTCTTTACCCCACAAAGAGGTTATTAAAATAGAAACAAGAAAGCTAATAATTTACCTCCATATTGTTTAAAACCAAAAGTTTTGTCATGATCATCACTGTGACAAGCTGGAATTATAAGCTGGTATATGTTTCAAGTGTATTTAAACAGCATAAATTAATATTTGGCAATGCCCTCTTTAAGATAGTGCAACAGAAAGTAAATATTTATTTGGGAATTAAAAGATTCTTCTGTGGTAAAGTTTTGCAGTTTTAAAGGGAAGAGTGAGCTTGGCTGAAACTGTCTCTAGGTTTCTGAATGCCACCAATTTTGGAAACTGTATGGATTATATGGCAAAATCCCAAGCCCTAGCATTAGAAACTTTGGTGATGTACACTCCTACAGGATATATGCTATTCCTTTTTATCTATGGGGTCTTTTTAATATATAATGATTTAAATAAGGTCTCTATAATTCAAATTAAAATATATTTTAATCATACTCTAAAAAGTTTTCAAAATATGCCTGCAAAATTAAAGCTGAGTGAACTGAAGCGAATCAAAAATTCTGAAGTGAGATGAACTTTTACCAAAGCGTGGGTCAAGCCTTGGGTCTAGCCAAGATGTGGTCTTGTTCTTATGGTTTATGTAGTAAATTTCTCCATCCTGGGTCATAGCTTGTTCCCATCCATCGGGGAGTGGGCCTGCAATATAGAAGGAAGGAGTTGATGGCGGGCTCTTGTTTGCTCCAGCTGAAATTGATCTAAAAAAAATTCCAACATTTTACATATATAACAGTACATGAAACAGAAGAGTTTCAAGCTCATGTCTAACATTTCTGGGATAAGGGCAAAGAAATGGTGGGTGGGAAATAAAAGAACAGAAAGCACTTCTATTATTTTGATTTAGGATTTGGAGTTTAATTTTGTAACTTGTTTGCATCTTTTCATATGCTTTTGACACTTCCTTTTGCTTATAGCATTATAGTAAAAAACCAGCAATAAGTCAAGCCTGCCAGAATGAAACCAGCATGAGCACCAGGAAAAAGAATAAGCATAGAGATGTTCTACCTTTCGTAGGAACATCTAACGATTACGGCCCAGCAGCAGCAACAAGGTTAACACTGATGAGGTCCTGAAATACTCCTCTATCTTTCACAAAAAATTAAAAAAAATGACAAAACTCATTTTCCCCTTCCCTCATACCAGAGCTTTCTGTGAAAGCGTTAAAGGCTTCAGCAAGCAAAAACACAAACCTGAAGAACAGGAGGCAAACAAGCAATGAAAAAGTAAAGGTAAGAAAACACCAGCAGCAGACATAGACACAGTGCTACGAACAGCAGTGCTACGCCTTTACGAGCAGGAACGCACAGGCAGGGAAACCTACATTTAGGAAACGGTAAAAGGGAGGTAGGTGATGGTGTTCTGGACTCCAGAGCCAATGTCTGAACAGAGTGTCTTGAGGTGTGTTTCCCTTGTGTTCCAAACAGCGGCTTTTGAGAAAACCACTTTTTGTCACTCTACAATTCATAAACCACTCATTCCCATCTCTAGATGATGATGTACGTTCATCTGTATTTTGCTTAGTCTGAAAACTATTCTTCAAGTTAAATTCATCTGATCTTACCTGGCAGGTGCTTTACAAATCTATGTTTTTGAATTCTTACATTCACATAGATATGGACTTCTAAAACTATCTAAATCAGATATAGGAAGATCTTGCCTGTATTTCTTCAGATTTAAGTACAATCCTAAAATGATATGGCAAAAGATCCACTGCAAATGTTAAGAATGTAAAAGAAATTAGAACAAGATCTGCTGCAGGAAACCATCGTATTTCAACCTCTTCTTCCACTCTTCCTCAGCATAATATAGTACTACACTAGCAAAAGCCATTTGGCTGTTAGACTTTGACTAGCAGATAATTCTGTATCATATAAGATACATTAAGTATTCACAAACATCATAATTTCACACATGACATTCAGGTCTACACACAAAAATGTGTGTGTGTATCTGATAAATGCCGAAAGCACCTACTATGCCCACATTCAACGTACATTAGTTCTTTGCCTGTCATTTTGTCCTAAAGTCACACTCCTGTTGAGGAACTAATTGTCTAAAGCTGGGGGTGGGAGGGGGAAAGAGGAGAAGGATAGATTTGTTTGCTTAATCTCAAAACATGTTCTTGGAGAAATGTCAAAAAGTAAAATAATCATTCAATTGCATTCCAGTAATATCCCATGGCATAACCAAGACAAGAATTTGTCTTTGAAGATCCCCTGCAAACTACATTTCTAATTTAAACTCTTTCATTTTGGCTCAGAAAACTATGCCTTTCTCTAGCAAGCTCACTACTCCACCATTAGAGCTATAGGTTTTCGAGTAAGGAAAAACACTGATCTAACCATTGGACATTTCCTTCCCATCCTTAATGCTCACGAGCTTTAACAGCCACATACAAGTTAACAAGAGTACCTCAGCTTTTATCAGAGGCTAGTGAACAGAACAGGCAAGAACAAGTAACAACGCTGCAAAACATTCATACATCCCAACATATCCACGGTGTAACAGGACTTGAATGCAGAATTGAAAGCTCAAGTGCAAAGAACCCTGTACTTCATTACCATACCCAAACACCAGCCCGCTAATCAGTGAGATGCTGTTTTATAAAACTGGGGCACAGGAGCACAGTGACATGCCCTACATCATCCAAGCACAGAATCCAATGAAGAACCAAAAATGTTCCTTGACTGCTAAGCCAACACCCTAGCCATGTGGGCAGACCTTCTCGCTACCATTCTCCTCAGGGTGCTTCTAAGCCACACATCCCTCGGAGATGAAACTCAGCAAGAAATTCTCTTTTGAACTGCAAAGCCAAAAATCCAGCTGGGAGTAGGAGAAACAAAATTAGCCTTG